ATACTCCAATCTCCGCTGTGGAGCTTTGCAGCTCCTTCAGGGTTATCTTTGGTCTCTTTGTTGCCTCTCTGATTAATGCTCTCCTTGCCTGGTCTGTGAGTTTTGGTGGGCGGCCCTCTCCTGGCAGGTTTGTTGTGGTGCCATATTCTTTCCATTTTGTAATAATGGATTTAATGGTGCTCCGTGGGATGTTCAAAGTTTCAGATATTTTTAATAACCCAACCCTGATCTGTACTTCTCCACAACTTTGTCCCTGACCTGTTTGGAGAGCTCCTTTGTCTTCATGGTGCCGCTTGCTTGGTGGTGCCCCTTGCCTAGTGGTGTTGCAGACTCTGGGGCCTTTCAGAACAGGTGTATATATACTGAGATCATGTGACAGATCATGTGACACTTAGATTGCACACAGGTGGACTTTATTTAACTAATTATGTGACTTCTGAAGGTAATTGGTTGCACCAGATCTTATTTCGGGGCTTCATAGCAAAGGGGGTGAATACATATGCACGCACCACTTTTCTGTAATTTATTTTTTAGAATTTTTTGAAACAAGTTATTTTTTAAATTTTACTTCACCAATTTGGACTATTTTGTGTATGTCCATTACATGACATCCAAATAAAAATCCATTTAAATTACAGGTTGTAATGCAACAAAATTGGAAAAACGCCAAGGGGGATGAATACTTTTGCAAGGTACTGTATATGCTGGTTAAAATTAACAAAATCATTACACTTACTTGACAACATTACAACTACCACTTTAAATCCACAAAGTCATTCAGGACTATCAGTGGTGTAGACGTTGTTAATTAAAGCCATATGGTTTATTGGAATGTTATTACATTATTTGATACATAAAATAATACACATACTTTCAAATGTTTTTGTGGAATTCCTTATGAGGTCTGACAACACATGCAATACAAACACAATACATTAGTAGCAGCATCAATGAGTGACATGGTGGCAATCAAATCAGAACCTAATACCAGCAGCACTCATTGTCTGTGAGGCCTCCCAATGTAGGCAAATAAGGCAAACAGAATTCATCACTTCTATCAATGACATAGTGACAATCAGATGAGATTCTTTCTCAGTAGTTTGCAGGACAGGAGTCTCAGTCCATTAGATGGGAGTTATCTCCCATCCAGTGTTCCTTCAATCAGGCTACTGTGGTGTTACTCTAATACCCTTCTTTTCCTCCTTCAGTTTCCTGCGTACTTTGCCAGTTCCAGTAGTTTATTATACAGGGCCTCGGACATGTTCGTCAATATCCATCTGAGAAGGGAAACAGAGAGGCGATCAGACACAGCAGGGGACCGATGGCATGTCAGCTACACCAGCCGCTGACTAATAGTATTGTCTGGCAAATGGCTTTCTGGAGTGGATTTGACAAGAATAGAAACAGAAGTCATGACACGTGTCAGATAGAATAATTACTTAATATTTCATAATTTGGACGGATCCAATATTAATCTATAGTTACATTCCACCTCTTCAAAATGATCTAGAGTATTATAAACTGGGTGGTTCGATCCCTGAATGCTGATTGGCTGACAGCCATGGTTTATCAGACCATATACCAAGGGTATGACAAAACATGTATTTTTACTGCTCTAATTACATTGGTAACCAGTTTATAATAGCAAAAAGGCGACTCAGGGGTTTGTGGTATATGGCCAATATACCACGGGTAAGGGCTGTATCCAGGCACTCCGCGTTGGGTCGTACATAAGAACAGCCCTTAGCCGGCATATATTGGCCATATACCATACTCCCTCGGGCCTTATCGCTTAAATATAATCTGCCAAATTAATATCAATACTTAACCATGCTGATATGATTGAAATTGATATCTTGCTTGGTTGGTAGATTGGTACAAAAAAAATACAGGCTGGTAATATGTTCAATAACGGAACAATACAAATATGTGATGTACATGTGATGTCGCAGATTCAAATAACTGTGGAGATGACTTCCAATGTTGTGTACAGTATCACTACTGTTTTAGAGTTAGTCTGGATTTCCTGGATCTGTGGTTTGTATACCTTGCGAGGTTGTGTGTAGTTGTTTCCCAGACCTGAGGTTAGACTGTGTGTCACGATCGTCGAAAGGAGTGGACCAAGGCGCAGCGTGATATGCGTACATCTTCTTTAATAGTGTACTTTTCCAACACGATACAATAACAAAACAACAAACGATACGTGAAGTCCTCGGTTAACAAAACACAAACCTACACGGAACAAGATCCCACGAATAACAAGTGCACACAAGGCTGCCTAAGTATGGCTCCCAATCAGAGACAACAAGCAACAGCTGATTCTCGTTGCCTCTGATTGAGAACCACCCTGGCCAACACAGAAACACATAACCTAGAACATACCATAGAAACACGAAACATAGACTCTACACAACGAAACTAACACCCTGGCTCAACATACAAGAGTCCCCAGAGCCAGGGCGTGACACTGTAGTATTTAGCCCAAGGATCTAGCGACTCAGGTTTTTGCATAAACAGCCAGAACTGCACAATGAAAAGAGGTATAGATTAATCAAACTCTTAAAAATAGATTTGATTAAGTCACAACAAATGCAGAGCATGTAACAACCAAGAACTATCAATACAGAACGGTAATATGTTTCCATGGTTCACTGCGAGAGGTAAAAATATTTGTTGGTGCTTGTACATACCAGTGATGTCATGTTATTCCAGAGCATCCGCTTGTGTGTGTGTGTGTGTCTGTGTGTACATACCAGAGCCTCTGCTCCATTGTAGGGGGTCAGGGTGAATGTGTTTGTAAAGATTCTGATCTGTTAAAATGAGAAAGATGGATAAGACGCATCATCATGAAAATTTGATATTGCTTGATTTTGGGAATCAGGAGACTGAAAGCAATATATCTTAAAATATTGAATGTTGACATGCACAATTTTGTGGGACTAATGATAAAATGTTCCTTTAACAAATACTATTATCACTCACACAGACACACACACACAACACATACACACACACAACACACACCAGCCAGAGGATGGGCATGAGCAGGTTCCAGAGGAGGGGGGGGGGAGGAAGGCAGGATACCGTAGGTCAGGTTGGTCATCGCAAAGCCTGGACAGATCACTGTCGAATACAGGCCCTGGAGGAAACACAAATTAATAAAGTATGGCCCACTCAGTGCTTACTAAAATATGGCTGACCCCTTCTACACATCTTTGTGCCGTGGCTGACCTGTATGTTGAGGTGTGTGTGTTGTAGCTGACCTGTATGTTGAGGTGTGTGTGTTGTAGCTGACCTTTATGTTGAGGTGTGTGTTGTGGCTGACCTGTGTGTTGAGGTGTGTGTTGAGAGCCAGACTGAGGAGGTCTGAGGTGTATTTGGAGGAGCTGTAGGGCTCAGTGCCTGTCTGGTGCTGAGCGGGAGTAGACGTGACAGGTGCCTAGCGGTTAAGAGCGTTGGGCCAGTAACCGAAAGTTTGCTGGTTTGAATCCCCTGAGCCGGCAAGGTGGAGAAATTAACCCCGAACAACAACTGCTCCCTGGGCGCTGATGACGTTGATTAAGGCAGCCCCACACACCTCTCTGATTCAGAGGGGTTGGATTAAATGCGGAAGACACATTTCAGTTGAATGCATTCAGTTGTGCAACTGACTAGGTATCCCCTTTCCCTTCCCTACCTTAGCTAACTCGTCATTGCCTTGCCAAACAAGGCCAGAAGCAGTCAGGTACACAGGCTAGCGGTACCAGTGATAAGAGACATCACCACAGTCAACTGGCCTCTCCAATAAACATGAGTGTACAAAGCCCTGAGGTAAGCAGAATAGTAGAGGTGACCCTGGAATTAGCAGTCAGCAAAAACTCTCTCTAGGGAAGGAGAGGACAGAACTTATTGTCATAGAAACTGTGGTGTTAATTTTTTATTAAGAGCGTTGCTATATGACGGGCAGCTGGTGAAGGGGAGATGGATCCAGGGTCCTCTGCTGTAGAGGGAAAGCTAACTTAATAAGTAGGTGGTCCTCAATGTCTACAAAGCAATGATCTCAGGAGATGGATAAAAAGCTTATAAGATAACATGGTCTGAACAGATCTCTTTATGATATATACGTGTATATACTATATATATGAATGTTATATTAATTAGGATGTCCAATCAAAAACGCATATTTTGACCAATGGGTAAAATTGACTTTTACATTTAATTCAGCTCGTGTCATGCTAATTTTGCTTTTTGCCACCCGCGGAAACAACTTTGAAGATGACGACCGCAAAATGTAAAATCCTCAAAAGTTGTTATGAGAAACCTGCACCGCTATGTCAACAGAGCTCGGCGCTTATTATCAGAAGTATTAGGTTACAAAATCTGACTTTTTGGATATAATGTTAATGATATGTTAGAGAAAGACCCTACTGAATGATTCAGAACATGAATAATCATATTAGTCTTGGTAAAATGTATTTTATAACATAAGGAAGTTACATTTCATCACCATTAATAAACTGCACTTCGCTCACCAGTAGGAAGTGACCAAAGAGGTTGGTGGCAAACACTTCCTGTAGTCCGTCTGCGGTGACGTTATCCTTCTGGGTCAGAATACCTGCCCCCATGGCAAACATGCTGATGACTTTGCTGCAACAAACACATCACAACCTCAACGTAACCACAATTGTGCCGGTACCCCCCTGTATATAGCCTCGCTATTGTTATTTTACTGCTGCTTTTTTTTTTTAGGGTATTCTTTCTTAAAACTGCATTGTTGGTTAAGGGCTTGTAAGTAAGCATTTCACTGTAAGGTGTTGTATTCGGCACATGTGACAAATAAATTTTGATTTTGAACATTTGATTTGATTTGATGTAGTATAGACCCACCAGAAAGAAACGTTCCCCAGGTGGTGGATTTGAGCAAACAATAGTGAAAACACAAAATACATACACACACTAGTAGAGGCCTACAGTATGCTCCCAAAAGAACTCAGACAAGACGTTTCGACCATAGCTGGGTCTTAGTTCTGACAAAACTTTGTGGAGCTGTACCTGGAGAATAGTCCCTTACAGAAGGCCTTGACATCCAGCTGTGGGTTGGGCATGATGCCAGCATTCAGGTAGAGGTAGTCCAACTGGTTATACCTGGGAGACACACATACACGCCACAATACTTTGTTAGCCCACTGAGCTAAAGACTAGGAATTAGCTCAGGTAACAAACGCAAGTCTACAGGTCACAAGTCTTACTCATCACGTGAACCGCCTCCACTACAACAGAACCACTCGTCCCTTTGTGGTACTGCAGTAATAGTTCACAGAACCACCTTCGTCATACTAATCCCATGGGCCGTGACAGCTGAGTAGCTGATTTGGTTCTGGGTGCTGAGATTACCGTCATACCTACCTACCTCAGTTTGACGTCGTGGGCGGCGGTGAGGACCGAGGAGATGCTACTGGTGTCCAGCTGTAGCAGGGCCACCTGGGCACCGGGGTGAGAGGTCAACAGGGCGGAGCGGGCGGCCTGGGCCCGACGCAGGTTCCTACAGGCCAGACATAGCTGGATACTGCCATCCTCAGAGAGGAGACGCTCACACAGTGCCAGGCCTATACCACTGCAGGGAACAAAGCACACACACCGTAACCAATCAAAACCATTGGAAAATGTAATTAAATTCATGACATTTTTACAAGATTCTACAATGTTGATTGATATAGGTTTAAAGGAATAATCCATTCAAAAACTATATTTTGGTATTTGTTTCATTAGTCCACTGTGGATACAGTCCCAAAATGTTTTGCATGTCAGCAATCACGTTATCAAGATATTGAACTTTCAAAACGCAACATATGATGCAAAACTGGTAATGTCATACTAGCTGTATTTCTGCCTACTTCAACAGCAGTGGGCTCGTTTGAGTGGTAAGGCGAAAGCAATTGACTGTAGACGAAAGTTGAGGAGTGAAGTCGGGAGAGGTGCATCTGCGACAGCCGAAGGTCGGATACTGAGGGGTTTTTCCAACAGCAAGGCTCAGTGCAACATGGCAGTGTTGCCATTGTTTATAAAAGTAGTTCTTTATAATGTCAAAATAAACATATCTCCAACCCCCATATCACAGACTCACAAACTGGAAATATATGTGTGTACACTGCACAATGAACTGATGAGAGAGAGCGCCTCAAATATCACATTCATTTATACATATCCACTGTACCCACTGGGCACACACTGCTTGAATCAACGTTGTTTCCACGTCATTTAAATTATATTACGGGGTTGAACCAACGTGGAATAGACATTGAATTGACGTCTGTGGCCAGTGGGTTTACAAAGTTGGTTCCTGTTTCAGTCACATCTTTGGTCACATTCGCGTGGGTCAAACACACCCTAAGTGGTTCACAACAAAGCTTCCCTCAATGTAGGCGACGACTGCAGGATGAAGTTGGTGAAGAGCAACTGCAGAAACTTGCAGTCAAAACTTATACACACATACACGCCACAATACTTTGTTAGCCCACTGAGCTAAAGACTAGGAATTAGCTCAGGTAACAAACGCAAGTCTACAGGTCACAAGTCTTACTCATCACGTGAACCGCCTCCACTACAACAGAACCACTCGTCCCTTTGTGGTACTGCAGTAATAGTTCACAGAACCACCTTCGTCATACTAATCCCATGGGCCGTGACAGCTGAGTAGCTGATTTGGTGAACGAAACAGCGGCCCTCTGTCTTAGTATGTGTAGCGTATCTATCTAATGCTGTCTGATCAAAAAGAGTATGACATTGTTGCCGCCGTAGCATTGAATGCAAGGGAAGACAGTGAGCATTTGGCCTCCCTTGATATTTAAAAAAAATAAAGTAATTGCCAATCAGCGTTGAGCTAAACTGAGTGAGCTCAGCTGTGAATGGTCCTAGCGTGCCAAAAAAAAGTGTCAAGGGACGCTAGTTTGGATTTGGATTCAGACCAATCACATCACATCAGAAGCCAAACATCATAGACAGAAAAAAAATTGAATTGTTGTATGTTGTTGTGTCACTGTCCTCCTGTGGCTAGCTAGCTAGCTAAAATCGGCCCTTTCCTAAATTAGCCATGGATGGAGATAGGTGTCGTGTATTAGGATTATGCCTTTGTTAAATGTTTTTCATGAAGAAATGGAATGTTGTTTATGTTAGGTCAAATGTAGCCGTTTGGAGGGTGACGCCCCAGGGGAGACTGGTGATTGGCCAGAAGAGGGAGCACCCATCTTTTTGCATTGTTTATAAGTAGGGGCTAGACAAAGAAAGGGCAGAGCGACCATTGCAATCCGGGCCGTCGCTCTCCGGGTGTCATGACATCTGTCACTTATGCTGAAGCTTGTGATATGAATAAACCTTATGATCCAAGTTCAGTATGAGCGGACTCCTTTGTTTATCAGCAATAATTGCCAGCACTTACGCGATACGACAAATGGCGCCCAACGTGGGGCTGGTCTGCATCTCTCCTCTGTTTCATTCAGCCGCCAAGTTAACTCGCTCTGAAGCCATGGCCAGAAAAGGGTGAGTTTTTTCCTCACAAGCTTTGTGAGGTTGTTAGGTTGGATACTGCTTGTGTACACGGAGGGATGTACCATTAGACCAAAGTGTGCCTCGTGTGGCGTTATTGCGGTCGACTAGGAGTCTGGTAATAATTATTCTAAAATTGTACAGCAATTGAAGGCAGATATTAACGGCAGATATTGGCAGAATAAAGGCAGGAATATGTATACATTAGGGCATTGTGGATCTGTTAAAGACCTCGGAACGAGGCGACTCCTTAGGAGTGGGCCATAAATCCTTGCAACGCGCTAGGTGTGTTGTCAGGTTGGTTCTGGGAACTATAAGGGGGACGGTTATATTGTAAGTTATTCTCATCTTATAGTCGATGGGGTATTTGCATGGGGTAACCGCTCATATGATATCCATAACTTACGGCAGCATAAAGTTAGCAGGGGATAAATGGACAATGATTTAGGCACAATGCAAGGTTACTTAGGGTGTGGTAGGCCGCAGTTAGCTAAAGGCTAAGGCTAATGCTAATGCTAAATGCTGGATTGTGTTTCATGCTACATGGTACATAGCGGCTAATGCTAATTGTGTTGCGTGCTACATGCTAACGTGTCCTTAGAGGTCCCATTGCGATGGATTAAAGCCTCTTAAAATATGTCTGTGTGTGTGGAATTCAGAGTTCTACGCAAATGTGAGCTCTGTTATGTGTAATTGTTCGATTATAAGGTATAAAATAGTGAAGCTGTAGCGTAATGCTATCGTTCTATTGTCTGGGAATCGTATCATTGAATGCATTTGCGCATGCGTTTAATTTTATGACACTACACTACAAAACGTGGGAGTTGTAGTTTATGGCACGAGATTATGAGACGTTGGGTTCCGGTACTAAACTACAACATGTTGTTTGCTAAAACTACAACACGGGGTTGTGGGTAAAGGGTCATATTTCTGTGGGGTTGCGTGCTCAGGAAGAGACAGAGAAACACAGACGAGGGAACAAAGAGGAGAGATTTTAACACGAATCTTATAGTTTTAAAGCGGCTGCTGTTTGAAAATGAAACTATTTGTTGGGATGTAGTGAATTTATAAATTAGGTATATGTTGACGGAGTGTAATGAATTAAATTAAATGACGGATTAAAATAAAATAAAAATGTTTTTGAGCGATCTATTTAGTCCTGGGTTAAGTCTTAAAGCGAATGTGAGTGGGGGAATATTGAATATGGTTGAAGTAACTCAGTATTGCATTAACTACTAAAATCTTTTCCTGTGTCTCTGTTCTTTTGTCATATGAGAGGAACAAAGGAGAGAGAGAGGAGGGGCTAACGTGTGCTGACGTAGCGTCACGTGACGCGACAGAGGATCGAGTCAAGGGTTTGAGACTGGTCTGGTTACAAAATCTTCCCCTACAGGATGTTTGATGTTATGACAATTTTACATAGGCTTGGCAAATGATTCATTAAAAATTGCATTTTGGAGGCTATGTGCATCACTGGGGTTGATTGGAGTTGTGTTGGGAATCAAGGACTGACATTATTCTGTAAATTTAAGATAATTAGGTGCGTATAGAGCAAGGGGGTTATGGGAATTGTAGTAATGGTAGGGTTACAGCAGGGGTGTCAAAGTCAAATGGACGGAGGGCCAAATAAAAAATTTAGCTACAAGCCGAGGGCCGGACTGTTCGAATGTTCATTGAAAATTTTTTAAATGACGCATATAGTCTAGTGAACCTAATTGAACCTACTGAAAACCTAACAAATATATTCCAATATGATCAGATAAATAAAGCAATATTTTCTTATGGCTCTGTCAGTAATCTTTAATTTTCAACAGACACAAAAGACAAATTTCCTTTATATAAAAATCCCCATAACATGAACATTAAATGAAAGAAACCGGTATTCAAGGCACCATCAGTAGCCTATATTTTCTATTTTAGCAAAAGTGGGCTAAATTTACTTCAAAGAAAAAAACAATAATAGCAATTTTCTATCATCCACTCAACTGAAATATTTTTAAAATATAATTGGATTGAAATACAATAAAATAAAGTGCAAAAATCTATTAATCAAAAACAACACTTTGTTTAAGGAGAAGTAACATGCAGTGAAAACAAATATTAAACTTTAACTTTTAAACTTGAACTGAGTAAAAACTCTAAATATGTGATTGCACAGTAATGTTCACTTGTTTGAGGTTGAGGGTGATACTTGGTGGTGTCCCATCTTTTCCACAAGTTCATCAATGTTCGGGGTAAGGCTCTGAGCTGAGGAAATCCTCAGAATTGAGTGGAGGTGTTCAGCAGTAAGTCGACTTCTGTGTGATGTTTTGTTCAGGTTCATCAAAGAAAACAGTTGTTCACACAGGTATGTGCTGCCAAACATAGACAACGTTTGAGCAGCCTGGATGCGCAGCTGGGGCATTGTGTCGGGGAGGAAACGGGCGAACTCCGCAGCACCTACTGCCGCATATTTTGCCCTCAGTGCATCATTGCATTGGAGGTCAATCAACTCCATTTGGAGGTTTGGTGGTGAGCTTTCCACGTCAACAGCAAATGGGTTACCGAGCAGTTCCAACCTGCTTTTTTGTGCTTCAAAGTCAGCAAATCGGCGTCGAAAGTCAGCGGCAAGCATACCTATTTTATCAGCCAACTGTGCGCTCGGGAACGCACTGGTAGAGAGCTTCTCTTTCATGGTCTGGCAGCTGGGAAAGTGGCTCAAATTTTCTTTCCGCATCTGCGTCTCCCACAGAGTCAGTTTGGTTTTAAATGCCTTCACTGTACTGTACATATCAGAGATGACATGATCCCGACCCTGCAGCTGCAAGTTCATTGCATTCAGATGACTCGTAATGTCACACAGAAAAGCCATTTCACACAGAAACATTTCGTCTCGGAGTTGTGTTGTGTCTTTCCCTTTGCTGTCCAAGAACAGACAAATCTCCTCACGAAGCTCGAAACATCTTTGAAGCACCTTTCCCTGGCTTAGCCATCGCACCTCTGTGTGATAAGGCAAATCACCATGCTCCGTTTCTAACTCCGTCAGAAATGCCTTGAACTGGCGGTGATTCAAACCTTTGGCTCTGATAAAGTTAACTGTGCGCGTGATGATGCTCATTACATGCTCCATTTTCAAGGCTTTACCGCACAACGCTTCCTGGTGTATGATACAATGATAAGCTGTCAGCTCACCTGTCGCGTTTTCCTCTTGCATCTTTTCCCGTATCTTCGCCACCAGTCCGCTCCTGTGTCCACACATCGCAGGTGCTCCGTCGGTTGTCAAACCCACGAGT